TTTAGATCAATAACTTCAACTGATTTAGATCAATAACTTCAACTGATTTAGATCAATAACTTCAACTGATTTAGATCAATAACTTCAACTGATTTTAATCAATAACTTCAACTGATTTTAATCAATAACTTCAACAGATTTTGATCAATAACTTCAACTGATTTAATCAATAACATCAACTAATTTTGACCAATAACTTCAACTGATTTTGATCAATAACTTCAACTGTATATTGTAAATATAACACTATTGGATTAAACTTTTGAGATATCCCTTGCACAATCCGTCCATAATTATGATCAAAATATCCTTAATCTCAAAATGCCTGCTATGTAAGTAATATACGGGGTTACCAACAAACGATGAGACTTTAATGAAGTCTTAAAACTTTAAAAATACAACTATCTGAGTGTTGATCCTGGAGTCCTACCTTGAATATTGTCTTTTAATGAAGTCTTAATAATTTGGCAAATTACGACCGCTGCAGAAGGGGTTGGTTCATTTGGTGTAGTGTCCCGTTTTGGCAGGTGTACTCTGTATGTGTACTGTACTGTACTGTACTGTACTGTACTGTACTGTACTGTACTGTACTGTAGTGTCCCGTTTTGGCAGGTGTAATCTGTATGTGTACTGTACTGTACTGTACTGTACTGTACTGTACTGTACTGTACTGTACCGTACTGTACTGTACTGTACTGTACTGTACTGTACTGTACTGTACTGTACTGTACTGTAGTGTCCCGTTTTGGCAGGTGTAATCTGTATGTGTACTGTACTGTACTGTACTGTACTGTACTGTACTGTAATGTACTGTACTGTACTGTAATGTACTGTACTGTACTGTACTGTACTGTACTGTACTGTACTGTACTGTACTGTCCCGTTTTGGCAGGTGTAATCTGTATGTGTACTGTACTGTACTGTACTGTACTGTACTGTACTGTACTGTACTGTACTGTACTGTACTGTACTGTACTGTCCCGTTTTGGCAGGTGTAATCTGTATGTGTACTGTACTGTAGATGTAGGCTCGGTTCTTGAAATTAACCGGAGTTAACAGTGGCAGTAAACCATGAATCTAAGAAAAACATTTTTAATCTTCTCTATGGTCTCATCCTTGATTTTGGGTAACCCTGTATTAAAGGAAATATTGAAACAGTGTAAAAAAATAAGGATTTCTGAAAGTGTTGCAGAGAAAACGAAAAGATATTAAAAACGCAAATTTATTCTTTTTTAATATAAACTTGAAATACTATCACAGATTAATATATCCACAATTACAATTTTAAAAATGTTAAACATGAGTTACTCAAATTCTGAAAACTTGATAGCATCATCAGCTCCTGACCTTACAGCAATAGTTTCAACATCTGACCCATACCCTGAACCTGAACCATCATCACAAACCTTCTTAGGAACCTGTTTACTAATCCTGTTAGGAACCTTCTTATGTACTGTATTACAGTCCTGTTTAGGAACTTGTTTACATTCTTGATAAGGTTCATTACTGCACTGCTGTTCAGAAATGGTTCTACATTGCTGTTTGGGAACCTTAATACACTTTTGTTCTGGAACCTGGTTACATACTGGATAGGGAACCTGTCTCTCCTTCTGTCTGGGAACCTCCTGACAATTATCATAAGGATTAGATTTACAGGTTCCAGGTATAGGAGCCCAGACTTTAGCATAACCTTCTCCTTCCCATTGATATTCACAGTCTTCTTTATATTCTGTATTACATTCTGTTTCAGTGTATGCTTCATATTCTGTTCTATACTCTTGTGTACATACATTGTTGTACACTGTACTGCATTGAGGTTCCTGTACAGTTACACATTCTTGTCTTGGTACTGCAACACAGTTTTTCTTGTACAATGTTTCACAGGCGTTGACATAAATAGTATTACATTGTTGTTCTTCAGTTTCTGTGTATTCTGTATCCCATATTGTTGTGTACTCTGTTCTACATGAGGTAGACTGTACTGCACTTGGCGTACGCTGGGGTTGTTTCTGTACACCTACTCCTCCACCACCGTACTGCGGAGCACCCAGTGTACTGCACACAGATAAAAATAAACAAAACAACAACATTATTCAAGTTTTTTCAAGCTCAAGCAGTGGTTGAATTAAAAGCCAAGAATGAACTAAAGATTTCTAGGCCTACTGCCTGTATTTATAGGCCTGGTTAGGCCTAAGTATACCTGCGGTCCTGCCTACAACGGGGTTTCCCAGTTTCCAATCTCTTCTTTATCTGTGAGAAGAAAACCCCGGCCCCCGGATCAGGGGTTTCCTGGACCATTTTCTGCCTTGGAAACTCTGCAGGGCAATACGTATTTTAAAGAACCCAAGGTATCAAAAATTATAATTACAATTTAGTATTAGAGCAAAAATAGAAAACACGGGGAAAAGAAAGGGAAAAGGAATGAGGGGGGAGGAAAAATTTCAAAAAGCAGTGAAAAGGTAGGGTTTAAAAAAGGAGGAAAAAGGAAAAAAATGCAAAAATAAGGAGGGTAAAATTGGAAAAAGCAAGGAAAAAGGTAATGTTAAAAAATAGTTATGCAAAAGGGAAGAGTGGGAAGAGTGGAAGAGAGGGAAGAGTGGAAGAGAGGGAAGAGTGGAAGAGAGGGACGAGTGGAAGAGAGGGAAGAGAGGGAAGAGAGAGTGGGTAGAGAGGGGAGTGGAGGGGGTTGAGATTTATTTCATTTCTATTACTTTTAAAATTTAAGATTTAAAATGATAATTTATGTTCCCAGTGGTATGGTATAGAGAAAATTCATTTAAACGTAATTTTAATTAATTAAATTGAATTGAATACTGGGGGTTTCAACTAATTAGATGGATTTATCTTAGAGAAATAGAAACTTAGACCTTATCTTAGAAATTCATAAATTTAAATATTTTCTCTTATTAAAGAAACTGTAGATGAAATTTTAAGTGATTTTCTATTTCTAGGGGGCATGTCTGATTCACAACAGTCTCCTTTGTTTAATCAAGATCATGAATAAGATATCTATGTGTTTAACTTGGAAAATGGATTGTTTTCAGTCGTAGTATTTTAGTATGTACACTTCATTGTGCTCTTTGTATGTTCTTAGTATGCCCAGTGTACACTGTACTGTGTTGTGTTTTTTTTGTATGTACACTGTACTGTCTTGTATGTTCTTTGTATGTACACAGTACTATGTTGTATATGTTCTATGTATGTACACTTTACTGTGTTGTGTGATCTTCGTATGTACACTATACATTGTTGTGTTTTCTTTGTATGTGAAATTTACTGTGTAGGTGTTGTATGTTTTTTGTATGTACAATGTACTGTGTTGTATGTTCTTCGTATGTACACTATACATTGTTGTGTTTTCTTTGTATGTGAAATTTACTGTGTAGGTGTTGTATGTTTTTTGTATGTACAATGTACTGTGTTGTATGTTCTTCGTATGTACACTATACATTGTTGTGTTTTCTTTGTATGTGAAATGTACTGTGTAGGTGTTGTATGTTTTTTGTATGTACAATGTACTGTGTTGTATGTTCTTTGTTTGTACACTATACATTGTTGTGTTTTTTTTTGTATGTGAAATGTACTGTGTAGGTGTTGTATGTTTTTGTATGTACAATGTACTGTGTTGTAAATGTTCTTTTTGTGTAAACTGTACTGTGTTGTATGCTCTTTGTATGTACACTGTAATGTGTTCTTTGTATAAAGACTGTAATGTGTTGTGAGACAGTACTGCGTATATTGTATTGTTGTGAGACAGTACAGCGTATATTGTATTGTTGTGAGACAGTACTGCGTATATTGTATTGTTGTGAGACAGTACAGCGTATATTGTATTGTTGTGAGACAGTACTGCGTATATTGTATTGTTGTGAGACAGTACAGCGTATATTGTATTGTTGTGAGACAGTACTGCGTATATTGTATTGTTGTGAGACAGTACAGCGTATATTGTATTGTTGTGAGNCTATCTATCTATCTATCTATCTATCTATCTATCTATCTATCTATCTATCTATCTATCTATCTATCTATCTATCTATCTATCTATCTATCTATCTATCTATCTATCTCTATCTATCTATCTCTTTATCTATCTATCTATATATCTATCCATCTATCTATCTATCTGTAGGAAAATTAAGATTATGCGTCAATACTACTCTTCTCTAAAACAAACATATAAGAAACCTCACCTCAATTCTGAAACCAGGCCAAACCAAACGAGGAGAGGAAGGCAAGCCACGAGGCTATTTCTTGTCCAAGCCACCTTCTCCTCATGTTCTAGTTAGAGCCATCCTCAGAATCATAGTCCTTTAATTATTATGTTTTTAAAGTGATCCAAGTGTAAAACTATTTTTTTAAATATGGACAAGTTACAATATAAAATGTCAAATTTTTTTAATTGAAAATTAAATCTGCCAGTAATGTGCTTTCAGTTGGTTCGTTTTTCGTTCGTTATTTGTTCATTTTTCGTTCGTTTTTCGCAAGTTTTTCGCAAGTTTTTTTGTTGTTTTTCATTTATTTTTTGTTCGTTTTTCATTCATTTTTCGTTCGTTTTTCGTTCGTTTTTTATTTGTTTTTCATTTAATTTTGTTCATTTTTTGTTTGTTTTTTTGGTTCGTTTTTTGTTCGTTTTTATCTATATTTTCTGTCAGTGACAAGGTTTGGTAAAAATAAGAGAAGCAAAAGTTTTCAAGTTTCTAAACATTTAGCTTTCTTTAAAGTGACTGTAAACGAAAAATGAAATGGGGCATAGGCTGAAACCTGAGAATCTCAGGGGTTGATTGAGACATATAAGAGTTCTATCTGATGTTTCTGTCTCAAGAAATTGATATAAAACCGTGTCAAAATTATACCAAAATGTATATCTGTAAGATTTTGTATAAGATTTGGAGTATTGATCATATTCAACAAATATACAACAAATCTGAAAACAACAATTTCCCAGAGGTGCCTGAGAAACTTAAGTTTGCTCATATTATCATCTATGCGTCCGGAACATGTCACCAGAACTCCAACCAATGGCAGTGCAGCATTATTGTCACATGTCTCCGTCTGTATGATGTGACCAGTATACTGTGATACGGACATATATCTTAGATATATACGTTTTGTTATAATTTTGACACCATTTTATGTCCATTTCTCGAGATAGGAACATCAGATATATGTCTTTTTAGGTCTCGTTAAACTCCTGAGATTACCCTGACAGAAGATATATGCAAAAACGTCCCAAAAACAATCCAAAAACGATGCAAAAACGAAATTGTTGTAACAAAAGTTTTTATTTTTCAATTTTGTTTAGGATAAAGAAGAAATATGCAAAAACGTCCCAAAAACAATCCAACAACGATGCAAAAACGGAATTGTTGTAACAAAAGTTTTTTTTTCAATTTTGTTTAGGATAAAGAAGATATATGCAAAAACGTCCCAAAAACAATCCAACAACGATGCAAAAACGGAATTGTTGTAACAAAAGTTTTTATTTTTCAATTTTGTTTAGGATAAAGATATCGCAAAGTTTAATAAAAGCAAACTTGAACATAATATTACAGTTTTCAATTATTTGAAGTTCTGTTGAATTAAATAAAAGGATCCAAAACTATGAACAACCTATATTCTGGTGTTTGATATAATAAACAAAAAAGAATGGAGTTCTATGAACGCGGAATAATCTGAGGCATTTTATACTAGGAATATAAAAATGCGCGAAAAAAAATGAAATATATTACTTGACAGGTTAAATTCAATTTAGGCTTTTTTATTTCACAAAAATTCAATATTTCATTCATGCTCTAACGTGTCCAGATTTAAAAAGTTTAATCTTTAAGGATATTATACACTAAAAACATTTATAATGGAAGGACAGTGATTTTTAGGATGGCTTGGACGAGAAAATAAGGAGAAGATGGCTCGGACAAGAAAATGAGGAGAATATGGCTCGGAAGAGAAATTGCTGTGGCTGGCCTTAACCTCCCCTCCCTAAACCCAACTAGGCCAAACCGTTGAAAAACAAAGAAAATAAATCCTATTTTTATTTGTTCTACTTATTCCGGGCCTTCGAATGTACTCCTTTGTTTAAACATGTCTTATCAATTAGATCTTGAAGTATTAAAGGGACTGTAAGCGTAATTTCAGGTGCCCCTCCATTCAAAGATGACATTGATTGATTTACAACGCGTTGCTCTTGAACCTTAATCCGATCAAATTCAAAAATGTGGATGATAGCGTCGTTATCAACTTACTCGAAAAGAGTTTATTTTATGATTTTCCCCATTGCTTCTTACATACAAGAAATGCGCCAGCGAATGTGACTTTCGCAGAGAACCCTGAAATGAAAATAAACAGTTTAAAGAAACAAAAAAAAATATCGAATTCATTCATGATCAGTCGAAGCTTTCAATGGAAGCCTTGTAAATCGAACAATCCAGGTTGACCGCAAAGCTAAGCCTAAGAATTGTCTGAAGCTACAGTGATTACCAGAAAACTGTAGAATAGGAAGAAGATTTAATAGCATTGGATTGGTGGAGTTATAGTAATTTATAGAATTGGGAAAGATTGTGAAGAAAAGTTGTTTGAATATTGTATGATTACACCAGATGCACAACTCTCATGGGATTATCTCCTTTGTAAACTGAATAAAAAGTTATCTTATTCATACTTTGTTCTAATAAAGTACAGGGTGTCCCAATAAACATGGGAATTCAGTGACGAATTCGATATCGTCACAAGACGAAACACCTCCATTTATATGATTTAAAAATAACATCCGGGTTTGCCATTATAGACGGCCATGTTGGCTTGGCAAATCCCGTCATTAAAGTGTTCGTTTAAAAAATATGTTTCTGTAAAATTTTGTACTTTTATGACAAATATATACCTACTTTTTATCTATCTATCTATCTAGCAATACTAAAGTGCATTTGATGCTGCTGTAAAGCAGGTAGTTTTACTAGTAGTAAGTTATTAAATAACTTGAAAAGTGAAATGGGTCTGTTTACACTGCTCAACTAATGTTTCCATGCTCATTGGACCTTTTAAAGTATTATCTTGAGTTTAAAGTCGACTGCCCCTCATTGTTGTTCTCTTTTGCAACTTTTAAAAACGGTCAAACGGTCAGCATTCAAAAACTTTTTAATTTTAGCTGTAAAAGCCATTGAAAAATAGAACACGTGTCACTTCATAATATTTGTCATAATTAAAAAAGAAAGTTTTTTGTTTTTATAATTTCACGAATTATGTTCTGATGACGTACTTCTTGAAAATTTGTCAATTCTTCTCTGACACCCCAACCAGCTTCCTAGGGTTACCCAGAGGAAGAGACTGTGAAGACGACCTTCTACCTTGATTGGGATCTGCAGGGGGGTTTATTAGTGTCATTGAAATCATAGTTATTCCTTCACGGTAGAACGTATCATTGGATATCAAATCAAATCAAATCAAATCATTAAAACATTTGTATTAATAAAAATGATAAATATACGTTTATTTTGTGGTATGGGAGCTACTTAAGATACGAGCTCCCCTGGTTCAGCATAGCAATGATAAGATTTAAACTTTCTGCAATTTGCATGAATACAGCACAAAATGGCGGAGTGTAGCGGCGGAGGCGGTTGGAGAAGAGGAAGCAGAGACAATGGCGTCAATCTCATCAGTCCGAAATAACAAAAAGTTTTAGGCTCAATAATGGATAAATTAGTTCTGGATCAAAAAATAATATTATCACTACATGCTAGTTCTGAGCAGAATAAAACATCAAATCTATATATAAATTTGGCTTGTCTGCCTGTTTGTCTGTCTGTCTGTTTGTATCCAATAAACGTCAAAACGGCTGAACCGATCGGGCCCAAATTTTTTGTGGGACATCTAGGGGCTCCGGGGAAGGTTTATGAATGATTGAAATTTTAAATATTTGTCTCCATCAAAATTCGATCTTCATTAAATTTTTGAAAATTTTGAAAATCCACGAAATTTTTGTGAACATCCGCGAATTATTTTTGGTTTGTTTTACGATGTACACAAAGAGAACATGTTCACAATTAATTTAGAAGATGGGCGCGAAGTTATTTATTATTTATATATATGAAAAGGATTAAAATTAATCTGTAGCTCTCTAACACAAATTGGAGATAAATCCTTGATCCCGAGAATCAAAAGTTCTGACTTCTGCAAGCTGAGAACTTTTGTATTGGAAACCCAAAATCCCGATCACTTGATCTCGACATTCACAACTTTTGAATTTTACTCTTGATTTTGGATATCCTACTTGCACTTAATAGGATATCGAAAAATAAATAATTAAATCTGTAGATTAACAAGATATCAAGATTACGCATTGATCTCGATATCCACCAACCTCATATTTCATATTTCATATTTTTTTCAACTACAAAGCAAGAGATAAATAAATCAACTCTGATACCCTGTTAGCATGGATCAACTATAGGATGAATTGTCGGCGCGGTCCGCCCTGTCTAAGTAGCCTGGCTCAGATTTACTAATCATACAGCTGTATATACGTGTATAAATTAAGATAATCAATCAATCTTCCTGTAGGAATTAGGGTTATNTTAGTCTTGGGCTTTCCAAAATTTGGTAATTTGGTATGCAATTTTCTCACATTTCCTCTTATTTCAGTTTTCAATTTGTATAAAAAAAAAGATAAAGGAAACTTTCTATTTTTGAAGATACATAAAAGATAAATTATTTTGAATTCTTAGCTTTTAAAAGGAAAAATAACCTCAGATAGGTCATTGTAAATCAAATGAAGATTCCTAATTCAATATTTGTTGGGACACTCGAGTAACCGAGTACATATACTTGAGTTTAGTTAATAAAGGTTTTTAATTATAATTTTACAAAATCGAAAATTTTCTTTTTATTCTTATTCTGGGTTTTTAGCTTTATGATATTAGCTAAGGGCGGTGCACAAACTTAGTTTATAATTTGCAAAAAAGATTGAGATAGCGCCCCACTGTACGCCCACTGTGCATCTTGTACAAAAAGGTTCCGGCATTGAGCATTTTCAAACGACGCGTACCGGCTTATCAGACGCCCGTACGCGTCAACTCTGCTTCCTGTCTAGTTGTTCCATGCCTGTTAGTTGTCTTCCGAAGAGTGAAGTAAATGTCGTCTTGTTTGCCTATATGTCTTCATGTTCAATACCAATAATTTACATTGGTTACCCCAAGGTTATAATGCAAGGAAAGTTAATTGCAGTTGCGTATACTCTGCGTACAATTGTAATGGGCGGAATTTGTAAACAAGAATAGATGCATCAGTGTTCGTTTAGTATCCGAGGAGGTTAAAAGCATTAAATTTTGATAATTCACATAATGGGTTCCTTTGACCAGAATATTTCATTGATTTTTTATGTGAAAGATGTCAGGTTTCGACATCCGTCTTGTGTTTACATTACCGCCCAGAGACAGTACACTGCAGTACAAAAGATGCGTGCACCTGAAATAACTTTCCTTGCATTATAACCTTGGGTTACCCAAAAATGAGACTTCGATGCCGACCTAAAACTATTTAAATATGGCGCCCTGAAGGTTGAATATAGGTAACTGCCATGGATGTAGTCTCTTATTGAAATATTAAATGGTTTGAAGAAAAATCAACAAGTTTACAGCTGAAGGAAACCATGGAAACTAAGAAAAAAGACTGTCTCATTCTTTGCAAGTAACCCTGTATATGACTTGATAGTTAATATACTAGCTTTGAAACTCAGCTTTGCCTTGAAATTAAGTTCTTTCTAAAACAACTTATATACAACTTTTTAACCAAGCATAAGAACATTTTAGCATTACTTGAAATGATTCAAATTAGGATTATTGTATTAAGCTATTTTTGGGTCATCAAATTCTCATCCTTTGTGGATAACCCTGTTTATATAATATATCTGTAAGCAACTAATCTGAAACAAAATAAATCCAAATAAACTAAAAAATACCGAACGTAATCTGACAGTGCATAGTTATGAATAATGAAAACCTAATGCCATTCTTAAAATCACTTAAATAATAAAAAAAAAACAATATTTTTATTAAATTTATTTCTAATTCTTGGTCACTGAAACATTTAAGAAACCAACGGGGGTATTAAAATCAATCTATTTATAATTGATGAAAAACGATAAATTGATTGATTTTATTTCAAGATAAACTAATAAACTTTACATGTGACATACAACGGTTATACAAAATTGGTTAATAATTATCTAATGCCTTATTATCAAAGGCGCAACTATAGCAGAGAGGGGGAAGGGGCATTTTGTTCCGACCACCGTCCAATTGCTTTACCAAAGGGAACCTTGCAAAATCCCCCCCGCTCCCGCCCCTTCAGCAATTTAAACATTTTCAGCTAAGAACAGGGGAAATTATGAAAATAGAATAATTATTGACAAAAACAAGATTTAAAAAATCAAGGATTTCATTATATACAAAAAATTCCCCAGATTTGCACACAATTTCTGCCCCCACCGACAAAACACTACAGTTGCGTCTCTGCTTATCATTGTAAATTTTTAAAAACTATTAATTGGTTTTTCTACTAAAATTTTTGTTACTATTTCGCAATTCCTATTTTTTAAAATAACTTTTATACAATTTTATAGTTGACAATACTTTTTGACTAGAACGAAACAAAATATTTGTTTTTAAGTTTTGTCTAAAATTGGCGATTTTCCTAATAAATGTAAATTTCCCGAAAATTTGTCGGTTTAGTTTCTAATTTGATTAATAACTCCTAATATCTGCACATTTGAATTGTTGTAAATTATTATGAATTATTTCTAAAACCAAAAGAATTGATATCTACAGATTAATTAAACTACGGCAAATCTACTACAATACATAGTTTTTTATCTCTCCAAAAGATGGGTTTAAAACATGTTTAACTTTTTGAATTTATAAAAATATAAAAAAATGTCAAATCAAATTTTTAATCCTTTGGATATGTGGAGAGAGACTGAAGTACACTACAGCGTACAATGTAAACAAACAACTACAGTACACTGTGTGTGTGTGTACACTAAAAGACCCTGTACAAACTTACAAATACTATTTAACGCGAGGGAAGTATACCACCAAATGTACACAATGTACATTTTATGTACTGAAAAATCTGGACTCTTCACACCACTGTACACTATACACCTTCAGGTTATTATTCACAAAATGGTTAATTTACAAATTTCTTGGATGCACATCATTCTTATGTATAGATATACGCTAAACTTTACTGTACTATACTGTAATGTACTGTGTCCTGTACCGTACTGTGTACTTTCTATAGCGTACTGTGTACTGTATTTTTCCTGTCCATTAGCGTACTGTTAACTGTACTATACAAAAGAACGTTGTACTGAAGAAAATTACTTTAGTCAGGCCTTTATACTTTCCCTTGAAGGGACAATTAATAAAAAGTTTTCAGAAATTAATTAGATTACAATTGTTAGAATTTTTGAGAAGAAATCGGCAGTTTTTTTGAAAAGCATTTTCAGCGGAATAGTTTCCCCTGGTGTCTAGACCTTTAAGGAGATCATTGGTTTTGTCAAGTAAAAAAAGGGTCGCTTTCTCGCTACGCTCGCGCCCTCAAAGGTCATTTAAAGGTACAATTTAGTTACACCGAGCTCAAACATTTTATGTACGTTTGTACACAACTCATGATATATATATTAAATATTTATGTCAAGGGAGAAGTAGGTATGGATAATTTAGATGGTAACAATTTAGTTTTTAAAATCCGAATTAATAACTTTACTCTATTAAAGGTTTCAAACACAACATAATGGCACGCACAAAATAACGTTCACTGGTATCGAGGGAAGGTTTCGGAAACCCAAAAATATTTTTTTGGTTTTTTAAACGAATTGATTTATCAAAACAGACATAGTATTAACATTTCTAAGTGTAAAAGCAAAATATGCCCAGATAATTTCCTGTTTGTCAATCAAGGGTTAACATTCAACATGGCGGAGTGTACACTGTACAAGACTAAATGAGATTGTAGGAAGTTGAATTCGCGCATTTTTGAATATTTAACTAGTTCTTTTGAATTTATAGAGTTGCATAACTAGCTGGCGATATTTCCATGACAGACGGGCAGTCTCTGCGCTCGTGTTTATCAATCTGCTCAACGCGCACGCGGACATCCGATGCTCCTAGGGATGAAATCGGACCGTCAAGGTGGGTCAGCGGTATCATACTTCGGTCGCCGGTCGACAGACCAAAATTTGGACTATCGCTTCCGGTCGAGATGTTTGAGCCGACGGAGTTGAGCGTCTCCTCGTACTGATTATTATTATTGGGCCCGGCGGGTATGGGGAGGCCGGGCTGGGTCACGGACTCACTGTTGGCGGATTTCTTGAGCCAAGGATGTCGGAGAATGGATTGAAGAGTAGCGCGCTGGTCAGTGTCAACCCTGAGACAATTCTGGATCAGGTCCTGGCACTCAGCGCTCACTCTGTACCGGAATCTGAAATTTACTTATCTTAAAAGGACTGTAGACGTAGTTTTAAGTGACTCTATATTTATGATTTGTCCTGTTCACAAAGGTACACTTCAAACCTTTGTATGATTAAGGATGAATAGTTTTTTGTAAGATTTATGCTACAGACGTAAACAAGAAAAAATGTTAAAATTTAAGAAAGAAAAACGACGACATTTTTTTTAATTACTACCCAGATTCAAATGTAAAGGGTACTGTTGTGAATCGGATATGCCATCTGATTATCTTTTATTTGATTCTATAGAACTTTTATAAATTTCGATTAAAGTTTTAAAAAATTCTTTCAAAGTTTTAGAGAATTCTAACCAAGTAATTTGTAATGCCCGGGAATTTTTTTTGTGAAAATCAATCAAAGGTTTATAGAAACTATCCAATCATTCTGTAATTCTATCAGAGTTTTTGATATATCTTACAAAACGATAGATAGAATTTTTTACCTGAGTTGTGCCTGACAGATCTGCTGATCCGTCTCGAATGGGATATCCCCGCAGACCATGTCATAGAGGAGGATGCCTAGGGACCAGACGGTCGCAGCCTCCCCATAGTATCTACCCTGCTCTATCCATTCAGGAGGAGCGTAAACTCTGGTTCCTGAAAACAAAATTATAAAGATTTATTGGCGTATGGGATAGCACCCTAGAAAAGGCCTGTAAAATATTTGCACTGTTGTATCAAAGACTACATTCATATTATTCCTAGTTTCTACTCCGTTCTACGCACTCTGGCAGAGTATACACTTATATTTCTTGAGAAGAATTAATTTTAGAGATTAATTTAAACACCTCCTTATATTCTCCACCCCCCATCAATGTCATACGGGTTGTTTTCATTGTCACCATTTTACAATCATGTAAAATAAAGATGACTTTTTATTCCTAATATTGACCCTGCAATATCCCTGCAGGAGAATTTCACTGGAAATTTTTCCATTTTTTTCCCATTCCGATCAACAAATTTTTAATATAATCCTATAATAAGACGTAATTCATGATGATTGAACAGCGCATATTTTGAATGTTACACGTGAAGAGAAGATGACATCATTAGTTAATACAAATTGAACATTGATCTCCTTAAGTACACTGTTCTTGTAAACAGTAAACATACTTAAGATATGAAAACATCTCTGGCCGAAATTTTATCTTCTGTTTATATTTAAAAATGATGTTATTAGGAATATATTTTTATTATATGGGGGCGCGTCTTGATCTTAAAGAAATGCGATATCGTTCAAAAAACTAATCCCGCAATTTGAATATATTGTTTTTTTGTATGGTTTTTGAGTATTTTTTTAAAAAAAATATAATACCGCGTTTTCTCCTATTTTTGACCACTTTCCCACTATTTGAGAAAAGACAACGAATACTTTTAACTTAGTTTATTCAACATTCAAAAAATGTTATTTTATTACAGGGAGAATCATTGAATGAAATATTAGAAAAAAACTAAAGCCAAAAATGTTGGAAAAATGAAAATGAGTCTCTAACATTTGTACTGTTTATTAGCACGTATATGAGACAAATGGAATTATCCCCAAATAGTGAAACAAAAAGTATAATGTTGTTGGCAAATTAAATGTTATTTTCAGAGAGAGCGGGGACTTTTTTACACAAAACATTTCTAAGAGAAGGTAGAAAGATTTTCTTAATTAATTTTCTTCTCTAATTATCACAAAAATAAAATAAAAAATGTCTATTTACCGTCAAAGTCTGTGTAGACTGAGTCCCTGAGAAAGGCCCCGGACCCGAAGTCGATCAACTTGAGCTGAAGTGTGTTCAAATCCACTAACAGGTTTTCATCCTAACCAAATCAATCCAACATCAATAAATGCGGGAAATTTCTTTTCGAACCAGTTAGTATATTTTTTCTTTGAAGCGAAATACAAGCAACATTAAAATTTATCCAGATTTTTTCTTCAATTTTGATAAAACATACAATGGTAAATGCAAGTACACATTTGAAGTACACATAAGGACTGCTAGAATCTATGTGTAATTATGAAAATAATTCCTGTCTTTATTTTGCCTGAAACTAGTTCCTGAGCGGTCCAAAATGTACTTAATCTCTCCCCTTTAGGACTATTAAGAATCAATTAAAAAATCCAACAACATTAGAATTTAACAAAATAACTAAATGTTGACTGATTCCTTTATGTCTCTATGAATGACTCCTTTTCTATGATAAGCTATGATAGTCTGCACAACCTAAACAAACAAAATAATATTTTCTTGTTGAAATATATTAATAAAATAATATTTTCTTATTGAAATATATTACTAAAATAATATTTTCTTATTGAAATATATTACTAAAATAATATTTTCTTATTGAAATATATTACTATAATAATATTTTCTTGTTGAAATATATTAATAAAATAATATTTTCTTGTTGAAATATATTAATAAAATAAATCTTAATCGTTTTTTCAAGTGACTGTTCATGCAAAGTTGATAATGCTCGATAGAACTATAATCTGATAAAAATGTGGAAGATACTATCGTTTCTCAGACTCGAAAACAATTAATTTCTGTGAATTTCTCTGCTGCTTCTTATAAACAAGAAATGCGCAGAGAAACAGCTAATTAAAATTAACTTGTTTTAAAAACAAAAACATGGATATCTTTTTCATACTTGATCCGATTTAGGTTTCAAGGGTACCCTTATAAATCGGGCATTGCCATTGTTGTACATAGGATCACTTGAAATTAAGGTACAGTCCCTTTAAACAACAAATTTTTCTTTTTAAATTTTTTTACATCTTGCCTCAGAAGTTGCTTTGAAAGATGTTATATCTAAAGATGTTGTCTTAACGATGTTGGACTTAAAGATGTTGTGTTTAAAGATGTTGTGTTTAACGATGTTGTATTTAAAGATGCTATTTTTTAAGATGTGGTATTTAAAGATGTTGTTCTAAAAGATGATGTTATTTAAGATAATGTTCGTTAAGGTTTTGTTCTTTAAATGTTGTTCTTTAAGATGTTGTTCTTAATTAAAAGAAGTTTTTTTAAAAACGTTTTATTTAAAAATGTTGTTTTTAAAGTTATTAACCCCCAAAAGAGAAGTTACATAAATAAAAAATAAGTTGATTTGGTGCTTCAGTACAGTACAGTACAGCAATTCATTTACAAAGTATATCATTCCTTAGACAGGATTTGTAAAAATTTGCGGGATTAATTTTCTAATTTCCTAATTTTGCAATTTTTCTAAAATATCATTAGCCTTGGAATTTGCAAAATGTGTTCTTCCTTCCCTGAAGATAACTGGATTCAAATTTGATAAATAAAATCAAATTGTCTTAACATCCAATTTCCTTTTTTGAAAGATCTATATGAGGTTAATTATAATATGGAAAGCTTATAAACGGTTAAACCATTGTGTCACTATATGTATTTCGTGTTTGATTGAACATCCTGGAAATTATAAAAACAAAGAATGAATGAATCAATTTACCTGATGAAAAAAGTTCCTAGCTAATTGTTCTTCTAAAACTCCTTTTTCTAAAACAACATATTTTTAACCTTTTACAAGTCCTTGTCTCCTAAAAGGGCAAGTAGGTGTGGGACTAAACTTCAGGTTTTTAGATTTTAAAATAAAATGCAACGTCTAATATTTTTGTTACCAAGGAAATTTTTAAAGGGATTTTAAGCGTGATAACAATAGACCATCAATGCAAAGATGATTATGTCTGATTTACAACGATACCCTTAAAACCTTAATCTGATAAAAAATGTCGAAAAGTGTTTTTTTTTTCTTAAAAGCAAGAAATGCGCAAGACACTTTAGCAGAGAAACCGCGAAAGCTTCCACGGGAACGCAGAGCACTGTAGCCAACTTTAATAATTCAGTTATTTCATTGGAAAACGCTGAATATTAGCAGAAAACATTTATTTGACACTCCTGGTTTTCCAATACATAATTCAGTACCAAGCCTCTTATCATATTATTAGCATTATACCCTTTAAAATCAGGAATTCTGGCGACAGGGAAAATTTATGTTTAATTTGCAACATTTGCAGTAAAAAACTTACGGATATTATTCCCCGAACTTTACTTGAAGTTGTCGAACATTTCTTTTAAAACTTCCATTTTTATGAAAGGTCACAAAATAGACACTGAACAGTAAGTGAGTACAATGTTTTCCGAATCTATTGCAAACCAAGCCTGAATTTAAATTCTAATTTTGCAAAAATCTGTTGCACATGAAATTGCGTTGTTTAATTAAAAGGGTGAACACAAGATGGACTAACCTAGGGTAAAAAAATAAACTTGAAAAAAAGTATTTTCAATGTGAAATATTTTTGTTAACCCTGTTTGTTTAGAAAAAAACTTCGAAACGTCAGACTTTAAAAAGGCTTGAGTACATACTTTTCCTAACCAAGTGCAAAACAAGCCTTGACTGGCCTTTTTTCTGCCTTGTGGCATTATATCCGCCTAAAGGCGGACATATTTGAAGGGGATTGGCTATGATTTAAACAGAGTAATGGCTAACTGGTTATTTAGTTAAAGGGAAAGTACATATAATTTCAAGTGACCCTTTTTTAAATTGTTGTCTGTCCGATACCCTTTAAAAACCTTTGTTTAAGGAAAATGAATAAGTTATCCATGTTTTGGTGTCTGAAAATATTTAGTTTTTCATTAAGTTTATCGTTATAAGTGAAGGAAATCGAAAAAGAAAACGTCGATATATTTCCCATTTTCGATAAAGGGCTAAAGGATATCATTGGGAATCGAACATGTCACTCTATAAAAGGAGACTTTCTTGAATTTACGTCTACAGTCCCTTTAACGGAGACGGAGAAGGGCAGGGGGTTGGATTCAAACCTGTGATAAAATCGAAGAGATCTTTGCATGGATCTGGACGTTCCATGATGATGATGAAGGAATCATGTCGCTCAAAATAGTCGAGAAGACGGACTACTCCAGGTTCTCCTCGCAGCTTGAACATCAAGCAGATCTCCAGGGGAACCCGCTCACATCCAACCTTTACATCGATCAATCAATCTATAATCAATCGATCAATCAATCAATAAGTCTGTCAATCAATATAAGATTTTTAAGATCGCGTTGAATTAAAGTAGAGATGTTTACATTTCTTCCACAAATTGCAGTACATTAATAGTTGTGGGTTCATAAAGACCAAAAGGGGCCGCTATACCTACAATGATGAATAGATCCTTAAATAATTTACATAATGGATATATTCAAGTTATAAGAGCAAAATAAACCTGATTGTTATATTTATCGAAATTTACTTAGCAAGTGTGACATATATTTTTTTTAATCGTTTAAAATCCTGCCCTTAATTTGGCGGATTTTTATAACATGAACTAAAAAAATCCACAAAATGTTTTTTGTAACTTGTATCCCAGTTCCACCTGTAGCACCTCATACAAATCTGTTTAAAGTACACTTTGACCCCAATTTGTGCATTAGAAGAACATGGCTCCATAGTAACAAAACGGTGGAATTTTTATCTGTTTAAAAACCTGTTTTTTATATTTCTTAATAATATTAATCTTAAACATTTACTTTAATAAAAAAACACCATAAACATGATTTTATCATGAAAAATAAAATTTTTATAAAAACTTAACTATTTTTTTCCGTATAAAGTGCTTAAAATTAAAAAACTTGTTTTAAGGTTTTATTTTTAATATTCAGCACTTTAAGTAGGTCATTGCAGTTGAATTTGCAGTGCAGTGTAATAACTGGAAGATTTAAGTGGGCTGCCTAGCTGGAGTCCTAAATGTTATAAAATGCTGGAATTGCATTCCACAAAGTACAATCTCTCGGCGCCAGGCAGCAAGGCATTGGTTTCATGTTTCATATCCGGGCAAGACTGTAACCAAGGGGATAAGGGAAGGAGGAGGTAGGGGGGGGGGGGGTTAACCAAGGGAGAAGGTAGAGGAATTACAGCTAGGGGTCGGGAGGAGTGAAAAGAGTGGCGTAACCAGGGGAATAGGTAGGGATGGTAACCAGGGGGAGGGAGGAGTGGGTTGTAACCAGGGAGAGGGTAGAGGTTGCAACTAATAATTCGGTGGGATAAGCATAGGGGGGTTGCAACCATGGTAGTGGGTAGGGGAGGGGTAGATGTTGTATCCAGGTGGTTGGGCTCGGGGATACTGTTACTAATTCTACAATCTTCGCCAAAAACTCAAATTTCAGATCCCTATTTCTTTAGAACCTGATGATGAAAACCTTTCATATTTCAGACTCTTTGATCTGATATAATTCATAGTTTGAAATATCTAGGGTCTACGACATTGAGTTGCAAAGCAAAGTGTGTATAAATATCTGCAACTTTTTATATATCAATTTTCTAGATTTGTATAAAGGTGTTGGCTGTGTCCAGTGTACAGTGTACAATTTACAGTTTGCAGTGTTCATGTAAACTGTGCAGTATCAACTTACAGCGTACTTGTTAACTATGCTATATAAAACTTACAGTGTACATGTATAACCATGCTGTATGAACTGTCAGTGAACAATGTACATGTAAACTGTGTTGTATGAACTGTCAGTGAACACTGTACATGTAAACTGTGCTGTATGAACTGTCAGTGAACAATGTACATGTAAACTCTTCTGTATGAACTGTCAGTGAACAATGTACATGTAAACTGTGCTGTATGAACTGTCAGTGAACAATGTACATGTAAACTCTTCTGTATGAACTGTCAGTGAACAATATACATGTAAACTGTACTGTATGAACTGTCAGTGAACAATGTACATGTAAACTGTGCTGTATCCTTGTATATCTGGCAAGCTATAAGATGAATGTCCTGACTCCGACCTTGAAATGAGTAAAGAGTTAAAACTGAATCTGCATGTGTAAATCTGGCCGCCAGGCCCTGCCCAGCTGGGATGAAACAGCTGTTTTTAGACTTTTAAAAAATCCGAAATTGTTTCGCCGATTTTTCCGCTTGTAAATTGAGTAAGGCGCCAACAATACTCGGCCCGAGTTTTCAAAGTTTAATTCTGATCTAGCAGAAAAAATGAAGAGTGAAACAAGAGAAATCAAATTTGTGCTCTGGCCTAGATTATAGGACATTTCATGCGCACATGTTCTGTCCTAGATAATAGGACATTTCATTTTTTGTCCTAGATAATAGGACATAACATGCTCTGTCCTAGATAATAGGACATTACATGTTCTGTCCTAGATAATAGGACATTACATGTTCTGTCCTTAAAGCTGTTAATTGGTTTAGTCTTACTTTTCAAAGGCAACTGTGTCCGGAGAAAAAGCAGATTTATTTTTCAGAATTACAGCGCAAAGGTACGTTACCTTTGCATTAAACACCATATTAGACGTTTTTAAGTAACCCAAGAAAATCTAAAATTATCATATTTCAATGACATTATGTGTTAGCCACTATTAACTTAAATATATAAACTGTTGATATTTTAATTACAAAAAAATTAACGTTTTTCGTACTAAAATGTTTAAAATTAACTACCCGTAACCAAATTATGCTATATTTGAATCCCGTAGGTGTGAAACTTTGTATTTTCATGCAGCGCTCTTTACACCTTTTTACGTATATTCAATGTGCTTAATAATTGATGTTTTAGAAATAGAAAGTTAAAGTTTTTTTAACATTTGCAATGAACTATTAGATAACAGTATAATTTTTTATAATTGTTTCTAATCCATGGGCATAGGCAAAAAGCATCAAATATTGTCTAGGCAAATTCTGAACGATAATAAGCTTTTTTCTCCAGCCATGGATTTCTTTGAAAAGTAAGACCAATATACCAATCAATAACTAATAAGCTATTTAGTTTACCATGAAATTATCCAAATAAGTGAACGGTCCCTTTAAGCTAGGTTTAGTCATAGATACACCATAGTGATAGTTAAGCTGTAAGTGTGCTAAAATGATAATGCAAAATATGCTTCTAGACGTCTAGATAAGACAGGGTGTCCCAAAAAAAGTCATGAGGTCATCTGAAGAAGTTGTTTGCATTTAAAAATCTTAAATTTTGGAGATGGGACATAATTTTTGTTTCAAGTGGGGTCTTTTTTTCTTACACTTTTTTTTCGGACACCCATTAGTTGCTAAAACTCGACTTGCACAAAAGTTGAAAAACATCATTTGTTATGTCTTGAAAGTAATTCCTTTTATTTGACAAACTTTGTACAGAAATGCAGTACATTTTTTCTGTACAAACTTTGTTAAATGCAGTACATTATTCTCAGTCTAAACTTTGTTCAGAAAAGCAGCACATTATCTTCTGTACAAACTTTGTACAGAAATGCAGTACACTATTTTTTTTACAAAGTTTGCACAAATGCGCTACATTTTTTTTTTACAAAGTTTGTAAAGAAATGCAGAACATTTTTTCTGTACAAACTTTGTACAGAAATGTAGTACATTTTCCTGTACTGAACTTCAGAAGGTATAAGGATCGGGCAAGGGGGGGTTGTGTGTGTATGAATGTTAAGGGGAGGGTTAGGTAAGAGATGTGAATTTGATTGTTAAGGTTGGGTAAAGGATCGGGATGTTTAGAAGAGCGAAGAGAGGGAGAATGTTTATAGGAGGGGGGGGGGGTCAGAATGTCCCCCCTTATTTTCTATATGCCGTTTATTTTGAATTTAAAACCCCAGTCTTATTGCCTACTCCCCAACCCTTGTGTTTCAAACTGCAGTTAATTCATTCAAACAACACAATAGCCTTTCAACAAATCTTCGCAGAAAACAATTTAGAATTTTTGAAATTAATTCTACAAAGCAAAAGTACTTTGCCACTTTTTCTACGTAATTTTCAAACTGAAAAACAGCAATAAACAAAAGAATAATTTCAATGCATTCATATTTCATTTTTTTGGTTGAAAATTTGAAAAATGAAAAAATAAAAAGTATGAAATTTACTTACATTTTCCCATTCCTTGATTTTGAGTTTGGCGACATGTTTGATGGCAACCTTTAATCCATCCCGGTTCCTAACTCCGGCATACACCACTCCAAATCCACCTTTACCCAGGACATGTCCAACCTAGGTAGGTAGGAAGGTAGGTAGGTAGGTAGGTAGAGGTAGGTAGGCAGGCAGGCAGGCAGGCAGGCAGGCAGGTAGGTAGGTAGGTAGGTAGGTAGGTAGGTAGGTAGGTAGGTAGGTANATGATCAACCCTCCCCAGTAGGTAGGTAGGTAGGTAGGTAGGTAGGTTGGTAGGTTGGTAGGTTGGTAGGTTGGTAGGTTGGTAGGTAGAAAGGTATGCAGATATGTAGGTATGTAAATATAGGTAGATACAGGTTACCCACAAAGGATGAGGTATAGCTATGTAGCCTGCACTAGTACTTATTTGGGTAGGTAGGTAGGTAGTAAGATAATAGATAGATATAGATATGTGGATAGATATTTGGATAGATATAAGGATAGATATATGGATAGATATATGGATAGATAAATAAAATAAAATAAGTAAATATTTGGATATATATAGATATATAAATAACTATGTACCTTATACTGTTTCTCAAACGGTATAGTATTGTCTCTCTCCATTCTACAGCCTTAAAAAGAAGATTATTAACAAATTATATTTTTTTTAAAGTAACAAGATTGAAGAGTACAAAGTACAAAAATAGTAAAGAAATTGAACCAGGATATTGAGTTTTGTTTAATAATAAAAAACACTTTTTTTATTCAGAGAAAAAATACAATTAAAAATGAAAAATTATAAAGAACCGGCTTTTGCTTAAATTTTATTTAGTTTTCGTCACTGAGTATTTCTACAGCTCTTTTTAATATGTAGAATCCCCTTTCGTTGAAAATCGCCTCCTCTTTGACTATATCCCCCTTGACGTTGATGAAAAATGTGTTTATATTGACACTGTTTATATATTTACATTGGCAAGCTCACGTGACTGAAAATGTACAAAGTCAATCTTGTTAAAAATCCGCGAGTTTTATTTTGTTTAGTCTAGTAACAGACACACGTGGACACTGTACACTGTACAAAATTATACAAATGATGTACATTAATAGGATAAATATTTAAATATTTACAAAATCATACAAATGAAATTACTGAATTAATGTAAAAAAGAAAAATAATACTAAATATTTTAAGAATTATGCCAATTTACGTCATTTGAGTGTAACAGTGATGAAATTGTTTTGTTTTTTCTAATTTGAAAGAAAAAAGTGGATGTTTCATATTACATTTACTACTGACGTCGCAAATACATCATATTGGATAAAATAAAAGTCTCGCATTCCATAGATGACGATGTTAAATGCTGATGCAAAAAAAGCTATTGTAATATCCATCTATCTTTAAAGTAACTAAATATTTCAGTTCATATAAACTATATATAAGCTCATAATTTAATACATTTTTATGTGGGACACCCTGTATAAAATCAACCTATTATCAACCCAATTTATAGATAACGATATATAAATATAGGTTAAACCAAACTTCAAAAATTAGAATTTCGTTACATTTCTTTAATGACATACTTATAAGATAAGATAAGGAAAGGATCTGAAAACCCCTCCGTCTTGGAGAGCCCAGACCGCCATCAAGACCGCCATCGGACTAACTCCACCATATAATGCTTTTTTTGAAGCCTTCCTGTTAGAAATCTTTCGCAGATGAGCGATGAAGTTTTGCACAGCTGTTCCTTGTCACTTTATTTACTATTTAGTACAGTTTGGACCTGTTATAAGTAAATAAAAAAGAGGGGAGAAAAAAGAAAAAATTTAGACACATTATGTCTAATTTTACGATAACTTCAACACCGGACAATGAAAAAAATAGAGTTAAAAAAGTATGTGGAAAACAAGTGTTCGTACTGAGCATTTCCGATCATTTTCAATCATTTTCGAATATTTTTTTCCAATTTAATTTCAATTCATTTTTAATATTTTTAGTTTTCAATAATTTTCATTCTTTTTTCTTTTCACTCATTTTCAATCATTTTCAATCGTTTTCATTAATTTTCATTAATTTTCAATCATTTTCATTCATTTTCATTCATTTTCATTCATTTTCATTCATTTTTGTTAATTTCTGTTAATTTTTGTTTGTTTTTACACATTTTTGTTAATTTCTTTTTCACACATTTAGTTTGTTTTAGTTAACTTTATTATTTTTTTTTTGTCACTTAGTCAGTTTTTTAGTTTTTATCTTCTTTTATTAATTTTAATTTATTAGAAGATTGTCTTAAATATTGAAATGAATTGGTATTTGAAAAAGGTGGGCACAGTAGCACAGCAGAACTGCAGCTATAGGTTGATTTTTAAATAAAAAGATTCCTCGAATTTATGAGTAATAATAAGCCTGAAATGAACAGGCTTGAAGGCTTGAACGTTGCACTATGAAAGAGGGGGGGGGGGAGGATTTATTTTAAAAATAAGTTTTGTACCTGAGAGGAAAAATTAAAGTAATAGATTTTAAGTGAAAGAGAAAGAAAGAATAAAATTATCTATGTAGAGGAGATAGGATCTTAGATGAGCAGGGGTTTATATAAAATAATTCTTCCCATCTTTGAAAATCATTTTTCTCCTCCAGAAGTTTTGTTATGTTGTTCTAAATTTTTTATTAACTAAATTGGGAAAATGTTAATAATGTGTCGGCAAAAATAAATTAATGTTTTAAGGAAAAGTGTTAATTTTTTCATTTTTCCCTTAGTTCATTTAAAATCACCCCCCCCCCCCCCATCTCATCGGGGGAGGAATGTTATTCTTAAGACTATATACACCCCCTGAAGATGAGGTTTTTGCAATGAATGGGGAATGAGGAGGGGGGGGGGGGGGGGTTTAGGGAAAAAGCAGAGGCAAAACAAGATCAGATAACTTAGTTCATTTGCAATAAAATATTCATCTAAACCCCCCCCCCCCCTCTACCCATTAACCCACAAAACACATCAAAGAATATGAAAGGATGAGTGAATGAATGAATGAATGAATGAATGATTGAAAGAATGAGTAAAAGGATAGATTCATAATGAAACAAATGAATAAATAAATTAAAGTATTGTAAAAACAGCAAGTTACGAAGAAATAATAAATTCAAAAATAAATGATCAACCCTACCCAGTACTCACCCAACAAAGATTTAACTAAAATTATCATTCAATGATTCACTGTTTAATCATATTTACATTCAATCCTTTCTTTGTTTGGACCAGCTCCACCCGCCTCCAGGAATTGCTTTGAGCAGAAAATTGCGGATTTTAGTCGAGGAAATATTTGCGGATTTTAAGGTTCAGTATCTGCAGAGCTGAAGGCTGCATGAACCTTGAAGTATGCAAAAAAAATTGCGCAAAAATCCTCATATTAGTTCTACTCGAGTCAGAGAGGCAAGAGTGACTTTTATTTTTTCCCCGAATCTCCGCCATAAAGTATCTTATAATCTAAACATAACAAACAAATCTAAATTTGCCTTTAGATTTTTTTAATCGTTAAAGGTTAGTTCACAAGTATTACACAAATAGAATTCTGTTTTTAAGATATTTAAAAGATGTGAAGGCAGCCATGAATCTTTTACAACTCTTAATTATCTTTAATAACCTTGTAGCATGTCCAACCCATCCATACACCGAGTGTACATTTATAACTTTTTACCTAGAACAAAAGATTTGGAGTTTTTCCAACCTCGACAAATGCAATGATTTATCCCATCCCAACAATTCCTATCCATCTTATCCCAACCATTCCATCCATCCCATCCCATTCCCAACCATTCCATCCCTCATATGCATTTCATCATTTTTTTCCATTCCATCCATACCATCCATTCCATCCATACCATCCATACCATCCATACCATCCATACCATCTGCGTTTTTACTTCAGGTTTTTATCCAGTGTTGCTTCTTATAACAACTCTTACTTATGTATTGGCAATACTACAGTCTGAAAAAGAAAATTCTTTTTACTATCCTTTCCTTCCCTTGTTTCTTTTCTTTTTCCCTGCTTCTGTTTTTCATTATTTCTTTTTTTCAATATGTCTTTTTTTCAATATTTCTTTTTTTCAATATTTCCTTTCTTCATTATTTCATTGTTTTCACTATCCCTTCCTTTTCTCATTATTCCTTCCTTTCTTCAATATCCCTTCCTTTCTTCGCTATCCATTCCTTTCTTCACTATCCCTTCCTTTCTTCATTATCCCTTTCTTTCTTCATTATCTCTTCCTTTCTCCATTACCCCTTCTTTCCTTCATTATCCCTGTCTTTCATCATTATCCTTTCCGTTCTTCACTATCCCTTCATTTCTTCATTATCCCTTCCTTTCTTCAATATCTCTTCCTTTCTTCACTATCCCTTCCTTTCTTCATTATCCCTTCCTTTCTTCATTATCTCTTATTTTCTCCATTACCCCTTCTTTCCTTCATTATCCCTTCCTTTCTTCATTACCCCTGCCTTTCTTTAATATCCTTTCCTTTCTTCATTAACCCTTCCTTTCTGCAATATACTTTCCTTTCTTCATTATCACTTCCTTTCTTAAATTTCCCATAATTTTGTTTTATTCTTTTATTCCTCTTTTTTTCTTTTATTCCTCTTTTATTATTTTCTCCCTTCATTACACATAAATGCAAACCCACTTGATTTCAATGTTACTATAATTCTCCAAATCTCAATGGGAGGGAGAATTTAAAAATGATGAACCATTTCTTTCATTCATGTTTTATCATTCATTAAATTTGTAAATATTACGCCCTAAAAGGCGTAAGCTGTGTACACACTACACACACACCTGACGCAAATTTTACTGAAAATGACGAAAGCATATTTTGGATTACAATGGTGCATATTCACTGCCTGGTTTCAAGGCCATAACTCTGCCTGTGCCTGCCTGAAATACCTTTAACTGCATTCAAGCCTTTCCAATGCATTTCTTGAAGGGATAGTGGTGAAGGGGGATCTTAAAGGGAGGTGATGGGGGGGGGGACTATTTGCTTCTTTATTTGTTAATTGGTCTACACTAACAACTTATAAATAATATATAGGTTCCTTGAATCGATTAATAGATCGTTATTAAATATATTATTCATACAAGAATAGAAAAACAGCGTATATTTATAGCGTATTGATCCTCTGTGTTATTCAAGCTAAATACAGACATTTTATAAGCAAAATACAGAACGTTATACAAGCAAAATACAGACCGTTATACGAGTAAAATACAGGACGTTATAAAACAAAAACAAAAAAGAACGTTAAACAACCAAAGTACAGGACTTTAAACAAGCAAAAAAATATAGGACTTTATACAAGCAAAATACAGGACGTCATACAAAAAATACATAACGTTGTACAAGAAAAATCCAGAACGTTATACAAGTAAACAACAGAAAGTTGTTCAAGAAACATCAGAGCAATATACAAGTAAAACATAACAGAACGTTTAACAAGAAAATTACAGGACGTTTTACAATGAAAAACAGAATGTTTTACAAGAAAACAGAACGTTATACAAGCAAAATACAAAACATTTTACAAGCCAAACCGCTATATAAGAAGAAAAACAGACCGGTTAAACTTCGTACTTTTCGACACACATTTGTAAGTTGTAACAAAATATGTTGAATTATTTCAAATTAAAAATTGAAAAAATCGATTCATAAATCCATTTATTTATCAATATTAAAACCTTGAAATCCCTAGCTGCTAAATTTAATTTATCAGAATCCATTAAAAAAGTTAATGCGTAAAACAGCTTTCTAATGACTATAACGTTTTATCTAAATATATTATTTATATCACGAAATAGTAATGTTGTGATATAAAAGATAGACTTTCAGTTTTCAGGTCTTTTCAGGTCTTTCCATGGCATTTCCTAGACTTGTCTAGTCTTTTTTGATATATTCTAGTCATTTCTAGTATTTTCTGGTCGTTTTAGGTCCGTCTTCCTGCATTTCTGGTATTTTAGTCTTTTCGCACCTTAACTCGAATTTAAAAGATATTTTTGACAATTTTCTGGTCATTTTACTTATCTACGTTTGTTCTTGATTCTTTTCCAATATTTGCAAGTCATTTTTAGTCTTTTCAGTCTTACTGGTCCTTTCCAGTTTTTCAAGTTTTTTAAAGTCTTGTCCAGTCTAATCCTCTGTCTTAACTAGTTTGTTCTAGTCATTTCCAGTATTTTCCAGTTTTTGTCTTCTCCCGTCTTCCCCAGTCTTTTCCAGTATTTCCTTTTCTTCCCTGATTGTTTTAGTTTATTACAGTCTTTTCTGTGCCTTTACTATTTTTCACCCTTTACCTTTCCTGGCTATTCCAATTAGAATCAGTGAAAATATACCGATACTTGTATTTACATACAGCAATGAATAGTGCGTATATATACATATATATATATACACATATATTTTTACATACGTACTATTCTATTCGCATCTATAACATTACAACATTACATAAATTATATATATACTACATACTATATACAATGTATAATTCTTTTTAAGTGTACTATGTATACTTCCCCCCCCTCCCCCCCCCTATTCTTCATCCTCTCTGTGCTTTCACTTTCCTTTCTCTTATCCTCTTGATTCCCTTACATCCTCCTTTCTTTTTTCATATTTCCCTTAATCCCCCCTCCCCTTCTTTTCCACAATTCCCAGAAATTTAGGCTCTTCTTGTAAAAAAATCCCCCCCCCCCTACTCGTACTTTTAATGTTTACATTCTGCCAGTGTACACCTTGCTTGTTGCCCTAATTTCTGTTATAATATCCCCTAGTATATCCACCCCTCCCTCCCCTCTAGTACAGGGGTTCATTTCATACCATAAAAAAAGGGGGAGGGGTAAAAGAAGGGTGACAAAAAAAAATTTTAAAAAACAAATATAAATTAAAATATGATTCTTGAAAGAGTATTTTTTTTCTCCTAAAAAATTGCACCCCTGCACTACGCAGTTGACCCAGTTACGAAAATATAGAGTCTACGCAACATATTACTGAAGAAATACATTACAAATATATAGACTCTACGCATTGAGATTTATTCCCGGATTTCTCCACAGGGAAAAATGCAGGAAAAACAAAAATTACAAACTTCTAAGTTATACACATGAAATAAGTTTTAAAATAAAAAACTCATGTCTAGATTTAAAAATTCGATATGTATATAATATATTAAACATGGACGCGGATTGAAGTAAGGAATAAAATGGAAAATACATTTCTTTTTCATTAATGAAATTATTAAAATTATTAAATTATATCAAATTTGTTTTTACCTTTTTAAGGTTTACTTGCAATAATAGAATGAATATTCTTCATCAGTGTTCTTTATCATATTTCATCTTTTTCTCGTTTTTAAACAAATTTGTCGCATTTATATTTTTTAAAACAATTTCAGTAGACAACAGATCACGTACAACAAGAATTAACAATGAATAATTATCACAGTCAGTTTCAGACCTAAATATAGGTATTTGTCTCACTGTATGTTCTGTCTCTGTATTGGTAACCTACTGACTGAGTCTGAGTCTCTGAGACTGAACACCGAACTGACTATAGTAACTACACTCTGACACTTGCGCCGAACCGGTCCGTCCTCCCTCATCCCTCTCTTTCTCTCTCTCTCTATCTCTCTCTCCAGCCTACAGCATACAACTTGCCAAAAAATCTTTACGCAAGCTTTTGATGAAGATTGAAGAAAATCCGCGATCTTAAAGATTTCAGTGTACATCTATTCAAAATACATTTTGTAATTCACAGAATCATGATCAATTGTAATTTGACGTTTAAATGTCCTGTTTCTATGCAGAAACGTCAGAACTGGTTTTGATTCGTACTTGCGCTAAGTTAACGCATGCGCAAAACGGTGGAATAGATACAATTGAAATAACATGAAAGTGACAGAAATCGTCGGAAAAAGTCGATACGAATAAATTTGCAAACGATTTTCCAGTTTAAACCAATTATAAATTTCAAATTTTAAGATACAGTTTTCCCTTTTTTCACCTTTTTTCTCTTAAATGAATTATGATATGTCTTGCAAACTTGAATTATAATTTGTAAGCTATAGTTTTATATCTGTGCATTAGCTATACCCTCAGGGTGCGGGGAAATTAAATTAATGATACGTTGATCAATATTAAATCAATTAATATATGATATAAATTTGAGATTTAAGTATTTATATTATGGATGAAAATGATTGTTATAGATAATAAACATTTAAAAGTTAAACATTATATGAAAAATTTGAATATTTGATGACACATTTTTTAGATCGAGTATATTCATTAGACAGAACATGTAGACAGAACATTTTTATAAGATAGAACATATATTGGATAGAACATTTATTAGAGAGAACATTTATTGGATAGAACATTTATCAGACAGAACATTTATTAGATAGAACATTTATTAGATAGAACATATATTAGATAGAAGATTTATTAGATAGAACATTATTAGATAGAACATTTATTGGATAACATTTATTAGATAGAAAATTTATTAGATACAACATTTTAGATAGAACATATATTAGATAGAACATTTATTAGATAGAACATTTATTAGATAGAACATTTATTGGATAGAACATTTATTAGATAGAACATTTATTAGATAGAATATTTATTAGATAGAACATTTATTGGATAGAACATTTATTAGATAGAACATTTATTAGATAGAACATTTATTAGATAGAACATTTATTAGATACAACATTTTAGATAGAACATATATTAGATAGAACATTTATTAGATAGAACATTTATTGGATAGAACATTTATTTATTTATTTGATAGAACATTTATTAGATAGAACATTTATTGGATAGAACATTTATTGGATAGAACATTTATTAGATAGAAAATTTATTAGATAGAACATACATTGGATAGAACATTTATTAGATAGAACATTTATTAGATAGAACATTTATTGGATAGAACATTCATTAGGTAGAACATTTATTAGATAGAACATTTTTTAGATAGAACATTAATTAGAAAGAATATTTATTAGATTTATTATAAAAAACATTAATTAAATAAAACATTTCATAGATATAAACATTTATTTTATATAAACTTTTATTAGATAGAACATTTATAAGAAAAAACATTTCTTAAAGATAAAACATTTATTCAACAATACATTTCTTAGATAAAGCATTTATTAGAAATAAAAAAATTTCAGATAAAATATTTATTAGAAAGAACATTTATTAGATAAAAATTTATCAGATAAAACATTTATTAGATAGAACATTTAATTTTTAGATATAAGCATTATATAATAAAACATTATTAATTACACTATTTATTAAACATAAAAATTGTATGAGTTAGAACTTTTATTAGAAAAAACATTTCCTAGATTGAACATTTATTTGATGGAACATTTATTAGAAAAAACACTTCTTATAGATAAAATATTTTTTAGATAAAACATTTCTGAGATTAAGCATTTTTCAGAAAAAAAAACATTTAATATATTTATTAAATAAAACATTTATTTAATAACATATTCTTTAGATATAAGCATTATATGATAAAACATTATTATTCATACTAGACTATTCAATAAATATAAAAACTTATGAGTAAGAACGGTTATTAGATAAAACATTTATTAGATTGAACATTAATTTGATTGAACATTTTTTAGAGAGAGCATTTATTAGATAGTACATTTATTAGACATAACAGTCATTAGATAGAACATTCATTAGATAGAACATTAATTAGTTAGAACATTTATTAGATAGAACATTTATTCAATAGAACATTTTAAAGATAGAACATTTATTAGATAGAATATTTATTTGAAAGAATATAATTTAGATAGAACATTATTTAGATAGAACATTCATTAGATAGAACATTCATTAGATAGAACATTCATCAGATAAAACATTTATTAGATAGAACATTTATTAGATAGAACATCCATTGGTGAGAACATTCATCAGATAGAACATTTATGAGATAGAACATTTATTAGATAGAAAAACTATTAGATAGAACGTTCATTGGAACATTTATTTAATAATAACTTTAATAGATAGAACATTTATTAGACAGAACACTTATTAAATAGAATATTTATTAGATAGAACATTATTTAGATAGAACATTTATTAGATAGAATATTTATTTGATAGCACATTTACTAGATAGAACATTTATTAGTTAGAACATTTATTAGATAGAACATTCATCAGATAGAACATTTATCAGTTAGAACATTTATTAAATTGAAGATTCATTAGATAGAACATTTATTAGATAGAACATTCATTAGATAGAACATTCATTAGACAGAACATTCATTAGATAGAACATTTATCATATAGAACATTTATTAGTTAGAACATTCATTAGATAGAAAATTTATTAGTTAGACCATTTATTAGAATAGAACAATTATTAGATAGAATATTTATTAGATAGAACATTTAGTAGATAGAACATTTATTGGATAAAACATTGATTAAATAAAAAATTTATTATTATTAGATAGAACATGTAAGATGATAACCTATTATTAGATAAAACATTTATTAAATAAAAACATTTCTTATATATAAATTTTTATTAGAAATGTATTAACATTTATTAGAAATGTATAAACATTTAATAGATATAAACATTTATTACAAATGTATAAACATTTATTAGATATAAACAATTATTAGAAATTTATTGACATTTATTAGAAATGTATAAATATTTATTAGATATAAACATTTATTAGAAATGTATAAACATTTATTAGAAATGTATAAATATTTATTAGATATAAACATTTATGAGATATAAACATTTATGAGATTAAACATTTATTAGATATAAACATTTATTAGAAATTTAACAACAATATTAGAAATGTATAAATATATATTAGATATAAACATTTATTTGAAATGTATAAACATTTATTAGATATAAACATTTATTAGAAATGTTTAAATATATATTAGATATAAACATTCATTAGAAATATATAAACATTTATTAGATATAAACATTTATTTGAAATGTATAAACATTTTTTAGTAGAACATTTATTAATTATAGAAAAGTGCCTTTTAGTTCTATCTAATTAATGTTCTTTCGAATAAAATGTTTAAATTTAATAAAGTTTATATTGGTTTAGCTCAGAACGGAAATCGAGATATCTATCCATCATTTGTAAAAAAATCAATGCAAGAATCAATAATGATTTATGTAGAATATATCAAAATTTTTAAGACTTCACCTTTACCAAAAAATTCAATCTCCTGAATACCTAAAGAATGTTCCACCTGTCCACAAAGTTGTTAAATTAACATTTAAAACTGTTTAAAATTTCGTTAAGATAATTGTTCTTTTATGTCTCAGATATTCCCAAAGGAATTCGAAAGTAGAGCAATGGAAAATAAAACAAAATCTTTTAAAACAAATTTGGGTTAAAGGGACTGTAAGCATAATTTCAAGTGACCTTCCCTCCGTTCAAAGATGGCAATATTCGATTTAAAGTGGTGGGCCACAGTGGACTAAGCCAGTGGGGTCGGTCAGATAGGCCTAGGATTAGGCCGGGTACTGTAAAAATTCTGAAAAAGCCATGGGAGTTGTCAAAGTTAGCCCTCCGATGAGACTATGCCAAGAAAATTGACCCCTGTCGTATGTTAGTCTGGTTAGGGCTACGTACTGAACCATAGGATCGGGTCAGTACACACTGTTATCTGGCATGCCGGTACAAACTGGGCAGGTCCTGTTAGACTTCAAATTTACTACGGCCCAGAGTGAGGCCCTAATCAATTTTGAATTAGATATCAATGTTTTGGTTTCTTTAAACTTTTTATGTTCATTGCGGTTTCTGTGCGAAAGTGACTTGTGCTTTTCTTGCGTATAAGAAAAAGTGGAGAAACTCACAGAAATAAACACTTTCGGGTCAGAACAACGCCAGTATCTTTCACACTTTTGATCAGATTGGTTTTAAGGGTGCTGTATATTTTTGTATTTCATATCGTTATCTTGTTCAGTATTTTATCCAGTTTTGCAAACAACCTTATTCTGCACTCTCCAGGGATAAACTTATAAAAAACACATTATGTTTCTTACTTTTTATTATAATTTAGAATATGTTCATATTTGCAATAATGTGTGAACGTTTCTGTGTTTTGATTTTATTTTCTTTAATCTGTTAACAAAAAATTAAACTGAGAAAATACAAAACTTATTTTACAGAACAAGAAGACACGAAAATTTAACAATTTTCATTTTGTTTTGACAGACATAGGATTGATTCCTCGTTAAGCACTGACAAAATTTCTCGTCACATTGTTTATATTTGAAAATATTTTTTACTAAAAGAATTTGTACAGTATTCATGTAGAATCAGGGGCGTTTACATGTATTTCGTTAGGGGGGGGGGGGGTAATCTTTTTGACATTCCAGGAAAGTAAGGCTCGGGAACTGAATTTATCATAACTTTCACTTTGCAAGTTGGATTTAGCCACCCACCCCACCCCTGTATACGCCCCTGTACACTGTACACTTTTTAAA